TGTAATAGTTTCTTGTTGTCGACCATCTGTTTTTTTGGAGTCCAAGTATCATATATATGCTGCGCCTTGTACACAGACTTGGAGTGGTTCGTCACTCGTTCCGGTATCCGGCACGATATCCTTCCAAAAGTGACATTGATTTGAGTAAATCGTTTTTCTAGTTCGTCAATTGCTTGCATATCAGTCAACGATAATTCAAAATCACACGTATTATTAATAATAGACATTATTTACAATAGTTATAGACAAAAAGAAAAAACTTTATTTTAGAGCGACGGGCTCACGCAGTTCCTTCCGCAACAAATTTAAAGCGCGTCAATAAATGCCCTACATATGCATTTGACCGATAATTGGTATGCAAGCGTTAATTTAGAATGCAAACTGTTAATGAAACTTATCTTGTGGCACATTGCGTAAAAATAGAAAATACTTATCAAAAGATGTTATAAACAGAAAGATTACAAAGAAGAGCTTAGAGCTAAAGATAATGAAGATGGTATGACATGCATGAAGTTGAAAGATAAGAGGAATGTTTATTTACTATCTACAAAACATTCTATTGGATTTACTAGGACTTACAAAAGAGACAAAGAAATAATAAAAACGAGCCAGCCCATTCGTGCAACAGCCGAGACTGCTGCGTGGACCTGCCACTGTATTAATATCAGCATAATAAAACAATTCATTAAAGTGTACAATTTACTCGTATAAACCATACCACACTGCTTGCATTGCGCGCATCTACATTCATTTTAAAAAGTATACATTTATAGCCCACTTAGTACTAAGACATCATATCTACAAACTCGCGCACCAACATATCTACCAAATTTGTTCGGAGACATCACTGAAAAATATTACTTTGTGAAATTTTTTATTCTTATTGGGCGGGTTTGGCGCATTTGCCTCAATTAGCGGGGTTTTTGATGGATAAGATAACCCTCACAATATTCTTCATCACAACATAAAATATTAAGTAAAAAATGTAAAAAAAATATACATTTGAAACGTCAATATTCTGCGTTCTAGAATTAAGGGAAATGATTTTGTATATGGAATTTAAACACAGCCAGTGACAGATCCACGGCAAGAGAACACTTAAGCCAAATAACAACTCAGGCGAGATCCGACGCAAGAGACAAGATCAACGCGGCCTTAAAACATTCAGCGCAGCAGCCCAGAGCTTACCCGGGATCGCGAAGAAAAGGCTAACAAGCTTTACGGAAAGCCATCAGGCGACCATGGCACGAAGCATGGCAAACGCCATCTGGGGAACACAAGATCGGAAAGCATCTTGGAAAGACTGGACGGTGCCGACCATTAGATGGGTCAACAACGGTTGCGGCCAAAACAACTTGGATCGTCAAGAACTTTGACAATGGGAGGGACGTTGTAATCACCACAATAATAGAGGCGGCGAAGGATCTTCGCGAGAAGCTTGCTAGTCACGTCGGTGCCAGTGCAAATACCAAAGTGCGCACAATGGCTTCGGTATTGGTAAATGGGTCCAAAGAGCCAGATAAGAAGACCTGTATTCGGCTCATGGTCGACGAAGCCATTATGAACCACTTTGGAGCCATTGTGATGGCAATGCGTCTGAACGAAGCTAAAGAAAACCTGCTGATTGATGACACCAACAACTCCCCTACATTGATAGGGAAAACCTCTTTTCAATGCAGTACACTCGCCAAAATTTTGTGGCAGGTGTCAGTCAGGAACTGCTGTGTACGCATAGGAACCCGATGGATGTAGCATATGCTCTCAACGAAATGGCATATACTCTTCCAGATCCCTTGTGCATTCGTGGAGAATCGAAAGATACTCCAACGCGCAAATACCGAAAACTCGTCCAGAAACGCTTTTCCTAGTCTATACCCAGGCGGAAAAAGAGGCCCTTATCAACCGGGGGTATGGATTGGGCGACGGTTTGCGGGTTCTCACCATCCATGAATCACAAGGACTAACATACGGGTCAGTCCTTTTCATGCGTACAAAAGTGAGCAAGCTACAGCTGCACGACAGCTTTCAGCATGCCGTAGTGGCGGTATCCCGGCACACGTGCACAGCTGTGTTTACTACACAGACGACTGTGACGACGCAGCAGGCCGCTTTATTCAAAAAGCCATGGCTGCAAGATAATAGACTATAACCTTAAAATGGCAATCAGGAACAGAGACGCAGCGATCGCAGAGAGACTATCAAAGAAATAACACCTATTACCTAATAACCTGCGACGACGAGATCTCCGTCCATTCTCCATATAACAAAAACTGTGCAGAGAAAATTGTTAATTTGTAAGTTATCAAAAATATATATAAATTAATTATTATATATACACGGGGTGTCTTTTTGCAAATTGCCCAAATTTTCACAGGAGGCTCAATTGCCATTCTATTCCCTAAAAAACAGAACTTGACTTGAACTTGAGATTTGCTTATCTCTAACGATGTCGAAACAACAACGCAATTATTAGAACCACTAGTATTACGAGATGGTACGGTGCTACATTTTAAGTGACTCTTTACCGCGTTTAAAAAGATAGGCAATGAACTCAAGTGTACCTAATCGAAAGACGATTTTGGCAGCCAACCAAAGGTTATTAGATTTTGTACAATTCACTACACCGGCGTATGCAAAGCTCAGACACAAGTAATGTTAAAAAATAGTTTGAGAAAGCGTGCCCAGCTTTGAATTGAGAGAAATGGACTCCATTTTGAAGAATTCTTAAAATATCAGCGAGTGTTTTTGTGACTAAATGAATAGGTAAGTTTAATTGTTGTAAATAGTTGATTCCACTTTTTAAATACGCCATAATAAGTACGAACAATAGAGTGTGATATTAAAATAATAAAGTAGTATTTTAGTATATGACGACCCTTTATTATGACGGTCCTAAGCCCGTTCTAAGTTTGAAGGAAAATTATAAACTTACTTGTACTATGATACGCTTGTAGTAACAAACTTTAGTTGTGTGCGTGTCACAATGCAGATAGATAGGTGGCGATATTTATGCGTCCTATACTTTTGAAGCGAACGAGAACTTTTGAAATAAACGAGTTGCGTATAAATCACGTACTTTTTGAGATAAGTTCAAATGAATGTAATTAATTACTTACGATTAAAAATATTTAACATTTTTTTTATAATTCATTTTTTATGTCTAGAATTTAATTGAAAAAAAAAAATGGATACACTTAGAAAAGCCTCCCTGTATACATATTGAAAAAAATAAAAAAAGACAATAAATATGAACTCACTGCTGCACCGTTATCTAAGATTATAGATACCGTCTTTTGTATAGATTTAATTTCGTTTATAGATATCGTCCTCGTAAGGCAATAAATATATGTTGCCAATTACAAACCCTTCTGATGGCTAAACATAAAAATCACGACTATGGCTATATCTGACTATAGCAATGGTTAGTGGAGCACATGCGTTTACCTCATGTGGATGGTAGCTGGTGGGAGAAAACCTCTCAAGGCTGCGGCGATGCCGTGCAACGTTATAACCATACCCTTAGGGTGAGCAGTGACTCATAACGCGCTCTGCGACGAAATGTCGTGCTAACGTTGTAATTGGTGGTGATGGCAAAACACTAACAATCACGTCTGCAGTCGCGACGATGTGGTAAAAGTGGTGGCGTTTACGGAGGGCTTATTATATCATAGGGCCAGAGTGCCTGATTATCAACACATGCTCAAAACCGTATTGACGTACATGCACGAAGACTGGATTTGTCGTCGACTTGCATGACGTTTACACGCATTGATATGCGCGACTTCGTTCAAAGTTTGTGCTTACGCACTATGAGCCCTTTACAAGCGTGAGAGGGAGTATGCTATATTATACTCTGAGCCTGTCTCAAGCGAGTCCGGATTAGTTAATAAGAAAGCAATCTAGCATTATCTCTGGCTTATAATACGACTAGTGAATATTAATCTATCCAAGATACACCTAAAAGAATCAAGTTACTAAATAAACACAATGTGAATAAGGTCCTACCGAACATGACGATCACAATAATATTTCATACGGGTATTTATTACCTTTAGAAAGATCCTAAAGAAAGATTAGTAAATTATCTTGGTCACGTAATGATTTTATATGATTTATTCGTATAACCGGGCAAAAAAAAAATATATATATATATAATTATATATACGGGCAAAAAGGGGGGGTTCAGTTACAAGACGAATAGGCAAAGAAGTAGGAAAGACCTTCTGAAATATAAAAAAAATTAAAGCTTAAAAAAAAGCGTTATCTTTTATTTAGGACAAAAGGTGAAGATAAAATATTGCAGGACTTTAGATGAGTTACCTAAAATGTCTTCTCATTATTGTAGATATACACCCACTCATATAGAAACGATGATATCACCAAAACAGCACAAGGTCAAAAAACAAAAGAGCACTATCTATTGCCGCCTTTCCAAACACTAACTGTACAAAAAAAGCTTTACTGTAACCGAACTCAGATTTTTGTGATATGTGTAATGGATACAAAATGGGCCATATTACAAAAGTTACTTACGAAGAGCATGTAAAAAAAAGAATTTGTTAAAGAAAAAGGGAATTTGTCATCACTATAGATTTCCTTCCTAACATCTAACAAAATTTATAAATTTTTGGAGAACCTTTCGAAGAAAATAAGAATTTTGCAAATCCGTCTTCATATGACGGAGTTACGCTCGAACGAATGCGACGTCTGTTATTAAAGTACTTAAATCAATATTCGCAAGGTTCGGTCTACCAATCGAACTAGTGTCTGCTCAAGGGCCGCCTTTCACAAGTATAGAATTTAAATCTTTCTTGAAAAAGGTTCGGTTCTCCCCGGCATATCACCCAGCGTCAAATGGTGGCGCTGAAAATGCGGTTAAACTGTGTAAAAGGGCAATTAAAAAAGCATATAGGGACAACGTCGATGTTGACACCGCGTTACAAGCGTTCTTACTGGTCTATCGGAACAGTAAACATAGCACAACGGGTGAGAGTCCAGCTATGCTGTTGCAAAGGCGATCTTTGCATTCACGCCTGGATTTATTGCGGGGTGAGTGTGCGGTGCAGAAGCGTGTCCTCGACGGTCAGCAGCGGCAGATTGGATATGCGGGGGGAGTTCCGCGTGAATTTGACCTTGGCGACAAGGTCTGGGCGAAACAATTCAGCAATAATGATAAACGGGGCAAGGGCGTCATAGAACAGAAAGAGGGCTTGCGAAGATACATTCTCGGCAACGGTGACGGTCGACGTATTAAAAGACATATAGATCAAATAAGACGTAGGTCGCGCCTATCCGATGTTACCTGTCCGGATGTAGCTAATAATAAGTAAGTAGATAGGGCTTGAAACGGGTCTGAGGATAATTTCGCAGATGCATGTTCCGATTTGCAAACTGAAGGGGTAGCTGCGGTAGGAAGCCGAGGAAGCTGAGGGCAGTATTGATATCCCAGGAGATACTCCGGTTGTCAGCGATACGGTATCAGAAGCTCCCACTCTTCCACAATTAACGCCCGGTGACCCGTCCCAAGCGAATCCGTCTACCCGTTATAATTAATTATTATTAAACGTTTATTTCTTTTTAAACATTTGTTAAGCCTATGTATATTTAAGTAAATATATAAGAGTTCTAACGATTTTACCCTGATCCTAATATTTTAACTATTACGGAACTTGAATATTAACAACTATTATTACGACAAAGCAGCACTAGTGGTTATATCACCGTCCAGGAACGCGGCCGAAATCCAAGTGACTGCTGCTCCATGCGACCATGTGTCCCTTGGCTCGAGTAGATACGTCATATCCGGTAAACAGTGTTGTCAGCGCCAACATTCGGCCGTCCTGCATCACGCCTTCGTCCTCGAAGGGCGTTGTAGTCTGGTACAAATAACCTTTATAAAATTAACACCTTACCCTGTGGCTTATCTCCCTCAAGTGGGATGAATATCGCCACGTTCAAAACACTTATCCTGTGGCTTATCCCTCACAACTGGGATGCATATCGCCACGTTCAAAACACTTATCCTGTAGCTTATCCCTCACAACTGGGATGCATATCGCCACGTTCAAAACACTTACGCTGTGGCTTATCCCTCACAACTGGGATACATATCGCCACGTTCAAGCCAAAACTTTCGTTACATTTAACTAAAAGATTTTATCACCATTACGTATAGTAACTATAAAACACACTGTTTTATTTTACGAGGGTAGGTACAAAAGGAGAAAATATGTCGCCGATTGTTTGAACAGCCAAATGCGAGTTTTCGTATTGAATCCCACTTCTGATATAAGAGTTCTAACGATTTTACCCTGATCCTAATATTTTAACTATTACGGAACTTGAATATTAACAACTATTATTACAAGCAGCACTAGTGGTTATAAATATACCTATATTTTTTGATTTTATATAAGTTTGGTTTTAAGGCTGGAGGTGTAAGGTATCTGTCATTTAATGTATTGAGCCAGTCCGCCATTAAACGTCGTACATTAAAGACCTCTTTCATTTACCTGCTATCGCAATATACTACACAAAATGAGATATATTTTTGAATCATTTATTTTAAATATTGTATCATATTGATACACCAAACTGAAAATTGGTATTCATTATTACAGATACCATACTAACTGAATAAATGACTTGAGCGTTCCGCAACATTGCCAATCTAAATTTTTTAGTAAATTTATAAAAATTAAATATTGTTTAGTTATGGGAAAAATAGCGGGCTATGCTCGGTATTTCTCTGCGTGATAGAGTTCGTAACGAAGACATCCGCAGTAGAACCAAGGTAACCGACATAGCTCAGAGGATTAGCAAGCTGAAGTGGCGATGGGCCATTATGGCACATATAGCGCCCGTTCTGCGACATCGTGAGTGATTGAAGCCATCCAGCCGAAGTCCGCCGAAGCCACTCCGCCTAACGTCGAGGTATTAACTCCGTGAAGCGTCGAGCAGCCTAGGCCACCTTGTCCGGAACGTGAGCGCCGTACACGCCTCGCCGAGACCACGTACCCCCCGCGACAGCGAGATTACGTGTGCGACCAGCACTGCGTCTCCCCTTTCGTCAAAGGGCAGGCAGTGCACGCGCTAGGAAGCGCGACGATTCCCGGCTTACACTGCGGCCTTGATACCTCTCCCCGCTCGGTGGGCGCTTCGCTGGGCCTCCCCTAGGGGTCTCACCCGGCTAAGTGGCCCGCGCTGAGGGGAGCAAGGTACATCGCTCGCCTGGGGATTGACTCCGCCCGCAACAACGGGCCGTGACGGAACCGCGAACGATGGAGGGCATATCGCCCCCCAAACCTCGCAGGAGAACGCGCACACCTGTTGCCATGGACCAACAGGACATCGAGGAAGCTGAGCTCCCAAGACAACTGTTGAGACCACAGCCGCAGCGCTACCAAGAAGCCGAAGCATACCTATCAACCAGTGAAGAGGAGTACCGAAGAAGCGCCGCAAGCGTCTCAGAGGTGGCGGAAGTCAAGGCCGACGGTGGTGCGTCTAAGTACGTATCCACCCGGGCCAAGACGTACCACCCTAGGAAGACTCGCAGGCGACATACGCCGCCCGAAACCGATGCATCGCTATTAGAAAAGCGACAATGCGTCGAAGAAACGGACACCGTAACACAGGATGGCCAACATGAAAATGAATACAGGAGTACCAACACGACGCGACATTCACAACCGCCAAGATCGCCTTCGTACGACTCAGTCCAGGCGCCATCCGAGCGCATGGAAACTGTACAAGAGTCATATGCATCCATAGCAAAGTCACCTGTGCAGCCAACACCGTCGACATCCGCTCAGACTGAGGAGCAAGTACCTACGGCTCCAAATGAAGAAACCACTAAGAAGGGATATCCACCCATAATAGTCGAAAACTTGCCCGATTGGGGTCACCACTTTTTGGCTCTTAAAAATAAGCTCGGACACGCGCCGAACGCGCGAGCTTTTGGAAAAGGCATCCGTTTCCTACCCCAATCGGGGCATGAATATCGAGTCGTCCAACGACACTTGACTGCAGCCACAAACGAAGACAGCAGCATAACTTGGCACTGTTATGCCCCGGCTAGACACCTCCCTACTAAAGTGGGCATTCGTGGATTGCCAGAAACAACACACCCGGAGAGCATAACAAATGCGTTACGCGATCTAGGGTTCCCGGCGACCTATGCAAAATTAATACCGCCAATAAGAAACCGAAGCCGATGCGTATTCTTCGTGCAGTTCGAGCGCCTCAATAATAGAGAAGCAGCCCGACTGTACGACATAAACGAACTCCTCAACATGCCGGGCGTCCAAATCGAGGGGTGGAAGGGGAGAACAGGCCCACCCCAGTGCCATAGGTGCCAAAAATTTGGTCATTCATCGGCAAATTGCCACAGACCGGTTGTCTGTGTTCGCTGCGCAGACAACCATATAGCAGCCAACTGCCCAGTGCCGCTAATAATAGTAATATAAAAGTCACAGCGGGGGGACAGCCCCCCCCCCCCCCCCCCCCCCCCCCCCCCCCCCCCACCTCAGACTTCCCCCCTCAGCCTAACGAACAAGGCGAGACTATATCAGCAACCGCATTACAAACCCCTACCGCGGTGCGAACCACTGCGGGGGATATATATAGACAACCTGTCTCGAGCGCGCGCCCGCATTCTACACACGTCGCCGACGCCGCCTCCTCTGCCGCCACCTTTGCAAGACCAACCACGACAATTACGACACTCCAGCCACCAGCCAACCCAGCTACAAATAGGGTCAGAAGCCATCGTCGAAGACGCCGCGGACGTGATGCACCCGCGGCCTCATCACAAGACGAAAGAGTCGAAAGACCGTCAACTCGAATCCCCCGAGAACGGGAACAAGCCACCACTACGGAGACGGAGACGGCGCTACCTCACCGCCCCCTCCCCCCCCGACAAAGAAGCCAACCTTATACACAAGGAAACCGTCAAATACACCTCGAGCAAAGGACGGAGACAGCGCCTGCCAGTCGTCGCCCCCTTCGCCCTCAAGACAACCGCTATGCCACTGAAGCCCCTAGAACTGTGGAGGAATTCACAGCATCTCTTCAGCAACTGATCCGCATATTGGCGGATGCATTAATAACCATTATAGCCGCAATGGCATCCGGACAATCGCCAATAGGAGCATCCCTACATACCCTATCTACGCTACTCACCGGGCATTACGGTGAATAGTAAAATACCATCAAAACAGTGTTGCGCCATTTTTATGGCGACATCAGAACAACACATCCCGTCAGGCCAATTTGGCCCAAATTACCGGGGGCACGGAGTGGCCCCTGAGATGAAGCCCGGGTCAGGAGGTCTGTCCTCGACACCCGTACCTGCAGGCCCTCCAAGGCCGAGTAGATGACCCGTGTGTGTGTGTGTGTGGTATTCATTATTACAGATACCATACTAACGGAATAAATGACTTGAGCGTTCCGCAACATTGCCAATCTAAATTTTTTAGTAAATTTATAAAAATTAAATATTGTTTAGTTATGGGAAAAATAGCGGGCTATGCTCGGTATTTCTCTGCGTGATAGAGTTCGTAACGAAGACATCCGCAGTAGAACCAAGGTAACCGACATAGCTCAGAGGATTAGCAAGCTGAAGTGGCGATGGGCCGGCCATATAACTCGTAGAACCCATAACCGTTGGGGAAGAAAGGTTCTCGAGTGGCAGCCTCGTACTAGCCATCGCAGTGTAGGACGACCCCCCACTAGATGGAGTGACGACCTGTGCAAATGTGCGGGAAGTCGATGGATGCAGGTGGCTCAGGATCGTACTTCGTGGCAGTCTGTGGGGGAGGCCTATGTTCAGCAGTGGACTCAAACAGGCTGAAATGATGATGATGGGAAAAATAATTAAATACTGATAACGAATTTCTGATAATAGGAATAATGTCTTGTTTTATTGTTTTATTTTGAATCGCCCTGGCTTCGAATTGAGAAGACTTTTTTTGAGATTTATTTTAACTTGTGTAAGTTTATTTTTAACTTTTACAACAGTGGGTGTTTCGGCATTTTTTCGTGGACGGAGACCGTGGTGCGATGTACGGTGTACGGCAGCCCGCCGCCCGCTTATTAAGTGCGAGAGATATTCGCTGCGGAGCAAAAGTGTGAAGAACATGTAGCTGAAGTGCGTGCGACAATCGCTAAGTTACCTTATAGTGTACTCGAGACCATGCAAATCCACATTATTTACGTACTTTTGGAACTTCAAATAAGGAAACGATTAGACGCGACATTACAATTAGTGTTGAACATTTGTCGAAGAAAGTGAGTCACTGAGGAGTCTAACGAGGAAATAATTCTTCCG